AAAGAAAGAAAGAAAGAAAAAACAAAAATTTTGCTGAGTATCCAGAGGCCTGAATGTCCAGAAATATTAATTTTAAAAATGAATCAGTAAATAGACTTTTGTTTTTTCTTTAACAGAAATAATTCTTTTTCTCTGTCTGTCTGTCTTTCTTTCTTTTCTTATGCATTTGGTACAGGGTCTCATTACACAACTGGGACTTGTAGCGATGCTCCTTAGGTAAAGTGTGGATCACTTGCTTTGGTCATCCCTTTTATGATGGCTTTACTCAGCATAAAAAAGTAATGTGATAAAGTAATAGGTATTAGGGAAGAGGGACTGTCTCCCTGTGCTCGCCAAAAGGGGTATTGTTTGTGTAATCTGCAAAGCCAGAGAGGTGCCTTGTGTTTATGCCTGTCTCATACTGACTACTTTGTTCAGGGAGTGCCTGCAGGACCTGACCACACAGTCAACTGCTTAGCACTGATGCTGTGGTGGGAATACGGCTTTGAGGCAGCTCTGAGCTAGAGTGGAGGAACAGGAGGGGACCAGGGAGCAATTACAAAGAATTCACCAGGGAGTGCTTTATCATCTTACTTAACCCCAGATTTTCTAAGTTGGAATTTGGTGGACCTCGGTGGTTTAGAACATGGTGGGTGCAGCATTATGCTATTTAACTTGGTCAGCCAAGTGTTGTGATGATTTTCAGCTTGTCTGTGGCCTCCTTTCTTTTAGATGCTACAATTAGACAGTGAAGATGTCTTCTTAGGATGGATGACAAATCTGGGATTTTTTTTTTTTTGCCTACATTTCTGCAATTGAAACATGTTGGGGAGCATATGGCCAGAAGGGCATGTCTTAAATGATAGCCTCTGCCATTCTGCTGCCATCTCCTGGGAGGATTCTAAGGGGAATTTGCTCATTTCTATCTGTAGCTGAAGTAAGAGATGTATAGCACACTAAAGGACCATCCGTGGAAAGTATAGAAAACTAGCAGCACTGACAGGGGAAGAATTAGAGCCTCTAACTCCCACGTGGACCACTTACTCTTTGATAGAGGTTGTAGATTTTCTGACTACAAAACAATATGTGAAAAATTCCCACAAATATTTTTGTTTAGATGTGTGTGGCTTGGAATTTGGAGAGAAGCAGAGGTAAGTGAAGAAATGAGGAGGTAACAACAATCTGGGGTCTACTGTGTGGGAGAGATTGGCAGGTTCTTCATGTAGGTAATGTAATCAGAACCTGGGAGTTCTTAGGGGAAGACCTAGGGAAGTAAGAGGCTGTATAGAGGATGACTTACCTAAAGCAGAATCTGATGAAGACCCTTAGGTACTATCCACATGCAATTCAGAATAAATGTTTTTAACATTTTAAAGATACCACAGTTAAATATATGATGAAATTAAAGTAGCTTCTCTGTGGAATTTGTTTTCACTGACACATTTTAGAGATCTTTTTCAAAGTTATCTACTATGCTGGTATCCCAAGCCTACCTTTAGTATGCTTGTTGGGTAATAAAATCAATCCCTACGTTAGAAATTTAGTTCAATGATTATTCATGCTTAGAACAGTTTTACTTTAAAATCCATTGCAAGAATCATGTAAGGTGATGAGATTCCCAATTTCAGTGAGTAAGTTTGTGGACAAATATCAGTGACACATTACTAGGTTGCCTTGTGACTATTAGCTGACTTTAACCAGATACGCTATTCATCTCAAGATTGAGGTAGTTTGCTTGCTTCAGGCACGGGGCCTAGTCCCATAGTTAGGATAGACATACAGCTACTTTCTCTTAGTTCATTGAAAAGAAAGGTTTGTACTAATATGGTTTAGATAAGATATCATGCCTGCTTCTGTCCTCTGATTGACTACTATGAAGACAACAATATGCAATGTGTTAGTTATTGGAACCATCCTATTAACCTGTTTTGAAACTGTTTTATTTATCTTTTTTTCCTCATCAAAATGAATAAAAATATTTAAAAAGTATCAGTGACAATCTCTCCTCAGGGGTAGGATCAGCAGGACCTGACAGCAGTTAGGGCAATAGTTATGAGTTTGACCTTGAGACAGGAATGATGCGGGCAGATGCACACTCCAGATCTATCACAGGGTCACTGGAATGAAGCAGCAGGACCTCTGAGGGTGTGTTGTCTGTAGCCAAAGAAGCCAAGTCAAAGACCACACATGGTGTGATTCATCTAATGAAGGTGTAGGAGAAGCAAACTTAACTTAAAGTAAAAAAAAGACTGGGGTAGTATGGTCTTGCAGGAAAAGAGTACCTGAAGAGAAAAAGAAGACACTTTCTAGAATAATGGAAATGGTTGTAACGTAGCATTTGTCAAAATTTTGTGCAGCTACTAATTTTATGTTTAGATGTACACAATTTTAGCTGAAAAAGAGGTGTAAGCATGATCATCTCTTCCTCCTTGATCTGTTCCTTCTTTCATCATTATTATCAAGAATGGAGTAAATGAGGAAGACATTCTACAAGACTGAAAGTTGACAATCACTGGAATTGTCCTGAGTATATATGGGTTTATTGTACATCTTCTCTGTTCTTTTCATATTTTGAAATGTTCCATAGTCTAAAGTTATTCAAAATTATCTCAAAGTGTATCACAGATACAGAGTTGGCCAAATAGCTCAGTGGATTAAAGCACCTGCAAGTAGGTGCAGGGGCTGGAGGTTCGATCCCCTGGCCTACAGTGCTGGTCCTGCCTCCAGAGCATGCTGAGACAGGCATTTGAGACTGGGTGGGGTGGCACATGCCTGCAATCCCAGCTCTTGGGAGGTTGTAAACAGGAGGATCACTTTGAGTCTGATTTAGTAGTGAGACCCTGAACAGCCTGTAGACCCTTCCCTAAAATACAATAACAACAACAAAATGTATCACAGATAAAAACATGAAAATGAAATCAATTCAATTTCTGAATGATATGGAAGAAATGAAAATCTTAACCTTGGTTTAGGCAAAGAATTTTAGGCAGAACAAAAAGCACTAGCCCCAGTGTA